GTCTGTCGAGCATAATGCATATCGTAGGTATAATACCCATATCTTCTTCCTCTAGAGCTACACGCGATAAATTATGTTTTATAATTCGCCAGATTCGTCGATGCATTTCCTGAATATGTGAGTCGTGAGTCCCCGAAAGCTCACCAGCCAAATTATAGTGCATGTTTGAAGTGCAAGGAAACAGGCAAGTTCCGGTTTGATTTGCACCGGCAACGCTGGGAAATAGTTCCGACACGAGCTAAAAATTTTTTGCTTCCGCCGAGCATCGACCCACTCATCGAGAAATTTCAGGGCATCGCCGAAGCCATCATGTAGCAGCATCTCGCGTGGCTCCCAAGTTCGGTAGAGCCATTTGTGCTTCTGAGATCTCCAGATGACGCGGTAGAGAATTTCACCACTAGCTGTTGTAACTCAACCTTTAACACAGGCAACCCTCCATTTTTCCGGTGCTTGTTCCACCTTTCTGCGCTGACGCATTTTTGTTTTAGATTGTCGTGGCCGAGCATCGAATGTGGGTACACGTTTTTGGGGTAAACGGTGAGACCGGCTGCTCCGACAAACATGCACGGGTGATGGTGCCTCTGCTTCTACCGGCAATGCCGCCCGTATAGATCCCTGGCGATAGCGGTACCGCTGAAAGGGTGAGGTAAGGCTGGTACTTCAGGCTGCATGTCAATCTCTTTAACGGTAGAAATGACGATAGCTTTTAAAGGCGTACTTCAAAACCGTGTCGAATTGTATTGGTTCATTTAGAGTAATCTGTGCAACCGTACTAGTCCGTGGTATGATCTCTGGAGCGTGCGTTTGATAACAGAGACCCAGACAAATCAGCCAGGTCCGTAGATGCGCAGAGTACTCAGCTGAAAGCTCCGCACTGCTGTCTTGACTTAGTCGATGTACTGGAAGTAGGAAACTTGCACTTGACATCGATGAATTGATAGTGATAGCGAAAGGCTCTTTTGGATGCTCACAGGGCGTCCTATGCCATTCGCTATGCCTCTCACTGACAGCTGCAAATGCGCAAAGCAGCTGGCATCACTAGATTCTTACACTCTTTGTTTGACATTCCCTACTTCAAAGTATATCTGGCTAATGATAGACACATTTGAGCGCAATCTCAACAACTGTGCCCATCGCTTCCTGAAAAGAGCTTCAAATGCTGCCGAGAAACCTTCTGAGTTGATGCTGATGATAGTTCTTGCCCTCGAAATATTATACCTGCAAGAACTATTTTTTGGCCTGGAAGCTCATTTTCTCAGATTGCCCGGTAGTACACAAGCTGTCTACAGTCGCCTACGGGCAGTGTGGCCTGTCCCTGGCAATAGCGATCCCGCTGAAAGGTGAGGTAAGGCTGATGCTTCAGGCTGCAGGCCAACCCCTTTAACGGTAGAAACGACGATAGCTTTTAAAGGCGTACTTCAAAACGTGTCGAGTTGTATTGGTTCATTTAGAGTAATCTGTGCAACCATACTAGTCCGTGGTATGATCTCTGGAGCGTGCGTTTGATAACAGAGACCCAGACAAATCAGCCAGGTCGGTAGATGCGCAGAGTACTCAGCTGAAAGCTCCGCACTGCTGTCTTGACTTAGTCGATGTACTGGAAGTAGGAAACTTGCACTTGACATCGATGAATTGATAGTGATAGCGAAAGGCTCTTTTGGATGCTCACAGGGCGTCCTATGCCATTCGCTATGCCTCTCACTGACAGCTGCAAATGCGCAAAGCAGCTGGCATCACTAGATTCTTACACGCTTTGTTTGACACTCCCTACTTCAAAGTATATCTGGCTAATGATAGACACATTTGAGCGCAATCTCAACAACTGTGCCCATCGCTTCCTGAAAAGAGCTTCAAATGCTGCCGAGAAACCTTCTGAGTTGATGCTGATGATAGTTCTTGCCCTCGAAATATTATACCTGCAAGAACTATTTTTTGGCCTGGAAGCTCATTTTCTCAGATTGCCCGGTAGTACACAAGCTGTCTACAGTCGTCTACGGGCAGTGTGGCCTGTCCCTGGCAATAGCGATCCCAGCGTGAAAGGTGAGGTAAGGCTGATGCTTCAGGCTGCACGCAACATCTGTAACGGTAGAAATGACTATAGCTTTTTAAAGGCGTACTTCAACACGTGTCGAGCTGTATTGGTTCATTTAGAGTACTCTGTGCAACCATACTAGTCCGTGGTATGATCTCTGGAGCTGGCGTTTGATAACAGAGACCCAGACAAATCCGCCAGGTCCGTAGATGCACAGAGAACTCAGCTGAAGCTCCGCACGGCTGTCTTGACTTAGTCGATGTACTGGAAGTAGGGAAACTTGCACTTGACATCGATGAATTGATAGTGATAGCGAAAGGCTCTTTTGGATGCTCACATGGCGTCCTATGCCATTCGCTATGCCTCTCGCTGACAGCTGCAAATGCGCAAAGCAGCTGGCATCACTAGATTCTTACACGCTTTGTTTGACACTACCTACTTCAAAGTATATCTGGCTAATGATAGACACATTTGAGCGCAA